CCCCCCAATCTTTTTTATTTTATTTTTAAACATAAACTGTAACAAAGTTGTCACTAATCTTTGAAAGAAAATAAACATCATCCATATGTGGCTGACAAGAAAGATCAGATCGTTAAGTGACCTAGATTTTTTTCTTTTAATGTTTATCTTTTAGAACCAAAAGCGCACTCCTGAGGTTATCTTTTTCCCTTGTTCCCCATAAAGGATCATTTGGACTCATTTGTCAGGAAAATATTAAAATTTTCCATTCAACTTTTCATATGTTTTTAACATTTACTGACGAAAGATTTGTAGGCCTATCGGTCGTGTTATGCTCTAAAGATGTCACAGGATAATTAATTAAAAAGTTTTCCAACATGCAAACAATAACCTTCTGATTTAATCAAGTGAGAAGACGTAAGAGTAACCCCCACAGTATTTTTATACTACTCTTGTTTTTTTTATTGAGGATCCGCAATGGTTATAGAACAAAAAAGAGTTGAGCCATTCACCTCCAGCAGCATTGTCAGAGCACAACCCCATTTATTTAAACCCAGATCATTACCTTTTTTAAGTGATGGGAACTTGTACACTTTGACCATTCCAAAGTCGTCACCAGTCACCACCACTTCCCCTTCAAAGTTTGCGTCTGCTGCATTCACGTCATTGGTGTCTGCATACTTGCCCCATATGCCGTTCACTTCAGGGCCCACAACTCCAGTGAAAGTTGCCCAGTGAATGGTGCTGATCTCCTCCTTGTTGGTTATTTCCTTGCAAGCTGCAGTGAAAGAAAAATGGATTAGAAAACACAATACTTAAAAAAAGATCAGGTATTGCCAAGTCAGTATAATGAGAACTGATCTTTAATTCTGATTTTACATTACCAACAATGGACTTGTAAAACAAAATATTCAACGGTTTAATTCTTGTGGGACAAATTTTTGGACAGTTTAGCATGCAATGTTTAGTACAGTGTAGAAAGTTGCCACAGTTACAAACTTTGGAAGAGCAGTACAACAGCTTGAAATAATCTGTCTTATGATTCATAGTTAGTGATATTACATCAAATGAGGTCGTTTATGTCAAGCAAATCAGGTCTTGAAAATAAATCTTGCATGATATCGCTCAACCTGCTCAAATCTGGTGAATCAGTTACATCCCAGAATGCCTTCTGGCAGGCTGAGTGGCAAAAAATGCTCAAATGACCTCTATTTAGAACTGTCATTTGGGCAAAATTGAGTTTAACCCTTGATGTTTCTTTCTATTGATGTTTCTTTCATATTATAACATGTATAAAATATTGCTGCCAAAATAATTACTAAAAAACTAAAGCATCATCATGTGACTCCTATTTTAAAAGAATTACACTGGCTCCCCGTGAAAGAACGTATCATAATTTATAACATCTGTTTCACTTGCTACAAGTGCTTACATGATTTATCACCGGACTATCTAAAACAGTTTTCAACACCCTATGTGCCTCCTAGAACGCTCAGATCATCAAGTGACAAAACAACCCTTGATAAGCCTAAAATAAATTACAAATCAAATGGCCAACGCTCTTTTTCATATTTTGCCCCACTTGTTTGGAATAGGCTTCCAAAAACTATCAGAGAAGCAGAAAATCTAGAAATTTTTAAGAAGAAACTAAAATCATTTCTATTTTCATCACATTTCGATTAAACAGAATCCATCCAAACTGTAGATCGTTGTGAGTTTGTATGTGCGTATGTGCATATGTACGTATGTGTGTATGTGTGTACATATGTGTGTATGTGTGTGTGTGTGGTGCGTGCGTGCGTGAATATGTGTGTGCACGTGTATGTAACACTATGTGCCTTTAAAATTTATTTGTAAATCCATAATATGTATCATGTTAAGCGCATAGAGCATTGCATAAGTGGATATGCGCTATATAAATGCAATCCATTTTTTTTTTTTTTATTACTGTCTTACACCAAAGATTCTTGGGCTGCCTTCTCTTATCCTGCATCTTTCCACATGAGTCCAGGGAAGTGCAGTCAAAGTCACATGATTTAAATCTGCCCACAAAGTTTTAAATAAATTTAACATAAAATTCCAATGCATACATTTCTTCTTTTTCCTCTTTAAGTGCTAGGTCTGGAACACATGTCAGCTATCACAGTTCGTCAATCATATCTCTACTTGAATGCCCTAAAAAAAAAACTATACTGACACAGATTTTTCTCATCACCAATCTATTCCATTTCTCTAAGTAATCTATTCTTGATCAACTTCTACCTATTTCACCTTGTTTCTTAAGGCATGTACACCTAATTTTATTTACCAGGAATTCTGAAGATGCAGCGATGTCCTGAACCAAAGTTGACATGAATGGCTTTGCTGTCCTGAGACCAGTCCAAATGAGTGATGAAGCTGTCACAACCACTGCACGTGCCGACCTTCTTGAAGCGCTGGTCGACACCGTAAATGTCCACAAAGTTGTCATTGGAGCCCACAGCAAGGAACTTCCCACAAGGAGAAAACTTGACCTCATGACACACTTCCTGCCGATCTTTGACGTGAGCTAACTCAGTCAGATCTCTGGGGAAACATACAAGCAGGGGCCAAAATTTCACTCACTCATTGATAAAGTTATGTTTTAACCATGTAACTGCAAGAAAAATGTCAACTTTTTTTGGGTACTAAAACCACTGCCTATGTTGACCTGCCAGTCTTCAGTAAGAATCAGGAGGAACATGCACTACATGTACAAGTTCTATAAAAGCACTGTGGGTTAACTTTTGAGTCTTTTCTCATCATTTAAATCACAAAACATTTTTTTTGCGAGCTGAAAACTTTTCAAGAAACCAGTCACAAGATTAGAGCATACAACCGTCATTACCTTGTCTCGTGGCTGTGAGACCAGCCCAGATGAGAGGAAAAAGAAGATAAAAAAAGCACAGAAAGTACTCAACTGCATCATGGTAGGAAATATCACGAATCACACATTATGCATCAACACGTACCTCATTCATATACACCAAATCATGAAACAAAAAATTTGGTCAGCACATCTCAAAGCCCTTCTGAGCTAAGGTCAGGATACCTTCCTCAGGGACATAAAGACATGTAAACAACACCAATGTTTGCTTGATGTTGCCTGGTGTCTTAATAATAGTCACTGTATCAAGAAAGTAAAGTACACTGGTTCAAATGTATGCTTGACAGGTACAAATAAAAATGAGAACAAGTCAACTAATATAGAATATATAATCAGATGTTTTTGGTAAAAATACAAACAACAAAACAATTTATGATAGGTGAAAGAACTTGGTTCTTTAAATCCAAAGTTATACTACTTGTGTACAGAGAGTATCTAAATCTTCACTTGTGGGCATAAACAACATCACAGCAAACAAAATTTTTCAATATTTAACACATCTCACCTGGCTCGAAGCACCATAAAGGAACCATCTGTCAAACCAATAGCAATGTGCTGGCCTTCTGGATCAAAGGCACAAGCTCGGATTTTTTGATCCACTGCAACCTTGGACAGCAGCTCATGGTTTGACATATTCCAAAGTCTGAATGAAGAAATTAAAGAAAAGCAAAAAAGTACGATTACATCCTGGTCTTGAAAAAGAGCTATCTGCCATATCAACTTAAAATTCAATTTACTTTCAACTATTCATCCATTTGTCAATCCAACCATCTGTCTATCATTAGCTCTTAAACTCTTTTCTTTCTTGCTATGTGCTTTTCCTTCAAGTTTATGAAATACTAACAGTAAATCCACAACAATGTACAAGCTCCTACTCTTTGACTTACCTTAATGTTTGATCATCACTGCCAGTAGCAAAGATGGGTTTCTTCGGGTGGACTGCAAGAGCCCACATCTCTCCTTCTGCGTGACCTTGCACCAGACATTTGGGCTTATCGCGACTCTTGACCTGCAGCTCAAAGATCTCACCGTCCTGAGTCCCAATAAGGAGTTGGTCACTCCTCCAGCACACAGCGCGGATCACAAGTTCTGAAGGGGGAAAATCAAACAAAACAATACCACACATTTCTCCTATTCTGTAGAGCATGAGGTCCAAGTGAAAAACAATAACCGACTACTCCTTTCTTGTCTTTCCCATATGGTAGATATAAATTGAGAAAGTTGTTCTCAACCCTCTTCTCAACAACGTGTTTGTTACAAATTTCAAAGTGGCAGCTAGCCCCCAATCGTTTTTAATAAGCCAAGAAGAGTGAAAATGAACATATAATAAAAACTCCACGAATGTTTATCTTACTCCATACCCAAAAAAACTTGTACATCATCTGCATATCTGTAATTATGTAACATTTTCTCATTCAACATCAGGGATGAGCCTGATTCAAAAAAAGGAAAAAGGTGTCAAAGCTAAAAATATGGTAAAGGTATCTAAAACCACAGCAATGCTCAGCCTCAGATGTAATGCTTATCCCATCATGCTGAAAGTGCCATACTCCTGGTAATCCACAGAAAACATCTTTTTCAAGTGGACCATAAATAAAACTTGTTTGTATTCCAAGGGGGATTTTTCTTGTTATCATAACAGCACTGTAATATGCCATTATTACTGAAAGGTTTGATATTTCAATTAGCATACCATTTGATATTTATTGAATAGTATCAACAACCATTGTACAAATTACATTATTAAGCAATAAATATCAGTCTCTTCATTTACGACAAGGAAAAGTATGTTGGAGTAACAGTTCAGAGGGAAAAAAAGAAACAGAAGCAGGGGATGAAAAGAAAAGATATTATAGACACAACCCCTCTCCACTAAACTGGAACCCACAAGAAGCCTAAAAAAAAGTTGATGACTCCCATAAAATGTCATACACGTAAATAATTCAGGAATCTTGAGAACAAAATCATAACCTCTTCTTTTTATCTAAAAAAAAATTAATAATAACCTCTTTTTTTTTATCTTCCTGCATTTTTTTTCTAGAACAACACTGCCATTATCGGAATCAAAGAAAAGATTTACTTTTTTTTTTTCAAAAATGTTCTGTACTAGTCTCAGTGATACTTCAAAACATTCATCAGTGAAATAAATTATTTGACACGTAAACAATAGAAATTTGGACTATTCATGGCGCAAGTTATCCTCAAATATCTTTATAACTGGAGAATCAATGCCACCTATACTTTGCACAGCAGTTTCTCTCAATTTGTCTTAACTTAATCATATTTTTCTACAACAATTGAGGCTAGATAAAAAAATATTTTCTTCATAAATTTATATAAAATACAAGAAACCTCCTTCACGCGGAAAATAGAATTGTTCACAGCACTTCCCACTCCTCACACACATTTTGTATTTGCGTATGGGTTACATCACAGCTCACCAATGACACTTTTTAGAGGTAAAACTAGTTACAAGAAATATATTTTATAGTGAACATTTTTTTGCACTAAAATTTTTCAAAGCATGCATTCACTAAAGATATCTCGCAAAAGCGATATCGTCGTAGCTGTAAACCTTATAAAATCAGTAGAAACCACCCACTGGAATTTTTTATTAGTATTTAATAAGGAATTTTCTAAAATAGAGCTTACAGGTCTTTACAAAAATATTGATCTGTTCAGACAAATTAACACAAGTCACTGTGCAAATGCTGGAGAGTTTATGTTCGATAGCTGAAGAGATATTTGACAATAAGTCGCGCCACGAATTTTTGACTGCACTATAGTTACGTTTTCATTCTAGCTACCAGTCAGACAATGAGGCTTGAAGAAGTCAAAAGATATGGTGCAGGTAATACAATGAGTCATGTTGTAATTTGTGAACGATCACTAACAAATACTCAAAAACTATCAGGGTCAGTGGGCAGGTTGAACAAAAGACACACTAACTAACATATAAAGCCATTAATTCTAGAAGGGGTAGGCCATTCCATAGTATGCTTATTTTAAAAAGGCAGAAACTTCGATTCTAACATCCATCTATGATAGCACCAGGCTTAGCAGGTGAAAACTAACAACTAACCTCCCCCCCCCAACCCCACAACATAACTGGAGATTCATATCAGGATGCAGCACAGTGCAGCACAGTTACCATCAACTGTGAGCCAACAGCCCACCCATAATATGTTCACACAAGTGCACTTTCAAGAAATGAAAAGTCTGCTGCAAAACAATGATGGAGACAAGAGAGAACGTAGAAAAAGGAAAGCGGGAGAAAGAAAGGAGAAGCAGAGTGAAAACTGGCATTAGGATGGGTGAATAAAATAATGAAGGAGGGGCAATGTTTTTCTGAAACATGACAAACGATATCATGCCACTATGGTGAAGGTGGTTACGGTACATAGTCATGCTATGCTAAAGAAGCAACACAAAGTGAACAGAGAATTGATACATGTATCAATAACAACTATTTTAAACAAATTTAAGACAATTGAATTATGCTATTGTACTAAACACAAAACGTTGTTTCTAGAGTAGCCTATTTGACTGCTAAAATAAACAAAACACTAAACTGATAAAGCCAACTGAACACAAAATTTTTTTGAAAAAAATAATTTTCAATCCATATTTACTAAAATTTGAAGCTTAAAAAATTGCGGTCTTGCCAACAAAATAAAAGCAAAACAGGGGCCTTTTTTCCACCAGAACAGAGAACATTTAAAAGACAAAGGCTAATTTGTCAAAAGCTTATTTATTGTGAGCTTGAAAGTATCATAGACATTCAAGGGGTTGCGTATGTCCGTGTGCGTGTCTGTGTATGAGTGTGTGTGTGTGTGTGTGTGTGTGTGTGTGTGTGTGTGTGTGTGTTTGTGTGTGTGTGTGTGTAAAGGAGAAAGAGTGAGAGGCTGTGAGAGAGAGAGAGAGAGAGAGAGAGAGAGAGAGAGAGAGAGAGAGAGAGAGAGACAGACAGACAGACAGACAGACAGACAGACAGACAGACAGACAGACAGACAGACAGACAGACAGACAGACAGACAGACAGACAGACAGACAGACAGAAAGTATACAATTTCTGAAGAGGCAGGTATTCCCTAGACAGTAAACAAAAGAAAAAATGCTTACAAAGCTTTAACATGAATACAAAAGCTTATTCTATAATAACTATGAATACTATGATAAAACTTTAAAAATTAGTTCTGTACAAATATATGACTAAAGGCAAGTGAGAACAAAAGTACCAAAAGGATTACATCTATTTACCTGTGACTGGTGATCCTGAAAGTAACATTCATAATACTAAACTTTGGCACACATACAAAAGCCCATTTCATGCAGAAAATTCCTCATGGTTTTTAAACTTCTTTTCCTCCTTAGTCTATTTGTTCAAATAATAGGAAACAACCTCTAAAGCTAAGAATTCATTCTTGTAACACCTGGCAAACCCAGGTCAGTTTTCATTCTTTATGTAAATCAAATTTAGAGCTGACCGATGTTTCAAACACAACAATCAAAGCTGAATTATTTCCATATAACCAGCTAAAAACTTTTCAGAGAACTTACATTCACATGAAAGGATAAGTGGAAAGACTCAAAAGGCTGAAGTTGGTACACAACCAAAAAGAGGTACCTTTTTTTATTTTTTATCGCCTGCAAATATTTACATTTTCATGAGAATTGAGTACCGCCTCTCAGTGCTTTTGAATTCGTCACTCTTGTAACATCAAATTCAGCGTGAAAGCAAAAGATAATATGAAAAACTTGTTTATAGATTAAATGAGTAAAATATGTATGGGACAGAACAAAAAGGTACTGAAACTGTTGTAATAACCTCATTTTCCAAAAATTTTAACATATTAAATTCCTTACCAGTATAACCCACAGATGAAGTTGCCAGGTTGATTGATGTGATGGGTTTCAAATCCAAGTCCCATAACTTGACTATTCCATCTTTGCCACCTGTAGCATAACCCTCTCCTGTCATATCTAAGGTGTAGATTGGACCCTAAAGAGACAAAAACTACAATCACTACAGGTTTTGATACAAGATCGCACATTACATATTTTGTGTTCATTTAGAATGGCAGATTTAGTGTCATGAAACCATGAAGTTATCATATTCTAAGTTAAGTTTAATACATTCAAAACATTATAATAAAACCTCTGGCAGTATTTTTGAAGATAATTATGTAACCTAAAATTTTAAAAATAACAAAAACTAATAAAGTAATAAGAGCACATCAAAAAACACAAACTTATATCATGAAAAACAAAACAAGTTGTAACTTGCACAAAGCAAAAAACAACAACAAATAAACAATAAACAAAAAAAACAATACCAAAATATACACTTACATTATGAGCTGCAGAGACAACATGATCAAGCTTTGAACCCTTCCACATGTAGATGTCTCCCGCCAGAGTGCCAGAAATGGTGGTATCTTCTGGTCCAAAGGCCAGGCAGAGCATGGACTGGACTTCCCCGACCTGACCAAACTCGCCTTTCTGTGGAGTCAGCGTGTTCCCACACAAGGTCCAAAAGACCATGTGCTTCACCCCAGCTGACACTACACAATTCTCTTTGTAGACATTGAATTGTATGTCAAATACCTGTGGAAGCAAGAAAATTGTGAACAACTGAATATCATGAAAGGGGAAACCCTGAAAAAAGAATATTAGTATCTTAATTTTCACAATTCAAATGTGACGAAATTAGTAAGTATGTTCCTTTTGAAAGTTAATGAGTAACAACATGATGCAAAAGTCTGTGCCAAAAATATTGATATTTACAAATCATGGAAAATGTGGATCTTAGCCATATTTGAGTGAGAAAATTTCCCCTCATTTTTAAATCAACTGGCCAGTCTTCCATGAGATCAGCATTATGTGAAGAGTCACTGACCTGATAAACAGATCAAATTTGCTTAAATTACAGTGTACTTACCTAGTCTGAACCTTTAAAATGTCTAAAGTCCATCCTCTTCCTCGTACTCCTTCCCACCTCATCTCTCTCTACAAACACACACCCCCCCCTCCCCACCACTTGCACCCTTAACAAATGCATTAGTGACTGGCGGCATTGTCATGCAGTATCCTTGCTTTAAGTAGTTATGTTTACAGATTATTTTGTTATTTCAAATAATCCAGAAATGTATGTGCTATTCAAAAGGGCAACTTTTACATCACACTGGTAAAAAAATAACTTTCCAAAACAAGAAGCTCGAAATATTTGTTACAAGATACCATCTTGACAAACAAATGACTTGAAAAATCTTAACCTTTCCAAGTCACCTAACTTGTCTCCTATGTCCTAGTCAGAACAAGGGGGAAAAATATGCTTCAAAAACTGTTAATCAATTCATACAATAAATTTTTAATCACTAATCAAAATAAGTCATATGTTATCAAAAATCTGCTTGTTGACAGAGTCAATAAATATAAGTACTTGAAAGAACTGATAAATAATTTCTTTTTTGCCTACCTTTTCTACTTGAGCAGTGACTGTAGATATGATTTTTCCTCTGCGCCAGTCCCAAACATTGATGGTTGAAGCAGAATCCATACCAACAGAAACCAAGCGCTGCAGAAAAGTATGACCTCAATCATTCTTCAGATGAAAATATGCATTAAAGCACAAGCATAATTCATAAAACAAACAAAAAACAATAGTTATGACTTATTTTTACAGTAGTCAGTAATGGTGAATGAACACAAAGGTGCCACACTTATATCTCCTGTAAAAATTAGCTTTTCCAGGATTGGCCACTTTACTACTGAATCCATTGATATGGGAAAGTCACAGTCCTTATACTAAGTCAATAACAAATTCATACGTTTCCTTCTTTGTCAAATCCGAGAGCAGCAACTCCTTCTTTGTGCCCATCTTTGAGAATAGAAACTGTGTCTGTAGTGGCAGAATCCCACACACAGATGTATGGTGCATCCCCGATCTGGCCAGTTGCAATCAAAGTTCTGTCTGGATGTAGTGAAAGACTGGGGGAAGAGAAAATAATTCATTCAAATGAAAGCCATATTCAGCAGCTCGAAAAGTATAGTTTAGGAGCAAAGGAGCATTCACGTTATGTGATATTTTAAACAATTTTTTCAACCAGTCAACAAATTTTTATGAAACTTTATTAGGCCTACAAATTTCAAATTCAACACCTTCATAGAAGCCTTCAAGGTTGAGCTTGAACCAACTTGAAGCTAGTAATATTCTTTTGATATTGTGCTTGTTTTTTCCTATATATTTTGGTCAGTTTTTTTTCTGTTATGTTGAATGTCCTGGCAACAGGAAAAGCATGTAGAGCATACTGATGGCTAAATTTCTCTAATTTTGAGTTAAATCTACCATCCTTCTTGGGTGACAAAGTTCAAATGTTATTGCAAACCTAGACTTCAAAGAATAAAACAAAGAATTTGTTGGGTATTTTTACTCATGCACCCGTCCCATATGTACACGTTTTATATACCTTTTTTCTAGTAGTGTTTTGCATGCTGAACACGAATATGGCCTTCATTTTTGCCGCAAATCAATTGTTATTCAGTTATTGATGTTAGAGCATAGTAATATTTGACTTGTTTTTAACCACATGGGGGGGTCTAGGGGGGGCATGCCCCAACCTAAAAAGAATCTGAGGGGTTTCAGGGGGGCATGCTCGATCCTGCATTTCACAATGATTTGATATTTGGCAATCAGGATTGATATTTACTTGAAAACAATTGATTTGCAAGAGTTTTAGTGGCCATAGGTGTGTTCTGCAGCAAAAATTATGGCAGTTTAGCCCTCAAATCAGTGCATCTGTGTGTGGGTGCATAAGTAAAAATAAACCAAGACTTTTTTTTTTAATCCACCAAGTGCCAATTTTTTATCTTTTAGTGTTGGTGCTATGAACCTGCCATGACGGCCACCGGTACAAACGGCCACTTTCCATTTCCACCCCCGCTTTTTTTCTATAATTTAACTGTAAAACAGTCAACTGTCCAATGCAGCCACGGTCACTCTATTTTATCAACCCACGGTCAAATTTACCTGCCTCGGGCTGCCAGGCATGGTCACTCATTGCCCGACACTTTGTCATGAATTTTGAATCGGCCACTTACGCTGTGGACAGGCCGTCATAATTCATTCAACTGTCGTTATTGTTAATCCCTCCAGTCCTCCATTGAATGTTTGCCGAAGTTGACCAGTGGGTAACAATAAACTTTCAACTGCTGGTGATCCGTCATAATTGCCCTGTCCACAATTCATGCACAAAGCGAGTGTGAAGTGACGGGTCACTGTTTTGTTTACCTAATCTGTAACAAATTAACTCCCAGCAGTTCATGCAGTACTATATCGTATAAATATAAAGGATGGCTGGTGATGTGGTATTTCGCCCATAAAATACATTTACTTTTATAAAGAAAGATTTTGTAAGTATTTTTATCAAATAAAAATGACTAAATAGAGTAAAAAATATAAA